TACACTTGAGAAATTAATATTAACTGGACATCGCATTTTCTGTGCTGCAGGCATTCAGGAAAGAGGTTTTCTTTGCATTTCTGACTTAAATGGACCCATATTGCTCGGACAATTTAAAAAGCAGAAAACTACGCGAGTCTCCATTTGTAACTGAGATAAGGAGGCACAGGAGGTAGTTCTTTACGAACAGGGCGGTGACAGTATAAAACAAGCTACCCAGCCATGTTGTTGAAGCAGATACCCTAGCTGTATGAGAACATGCTATCCATTAACCACTAATTACCAATTGGGCCAGACAGCCTCCTCTCCTTTGGAATGTAAAGCTACAGTGTGCAGCAGAGGGTTAAAGACTACCCTTTTTACTTATATACTGTAGTGTTAGGCATTTTTCAGATCAATACCAGTGCATGAAGGACAGGGAAACTATGACCTGTTATGAATCTGATGGGGTTCCCATCCATAAATAATGTTCAGCACATTTACAGAAAGTATTTTTAGATTTTTTATGGTACTCTGAAAAGCTGCTCGACAGTACTTTCTTTCCATGTTGCTGGAAAGGACCAAGCACAAAAACACAGGCAGAATGTCAGCCACAGAATCCTGCTGCATTTCATTGCCTTCTCAAAAGAATAAAAATTGAACCAATTTTTCATTGCCAATATTAAACGCGGTGCTTATTAAATATAATTCACAGGCTCAATTTAAACATCTGCAGCTGGGTCAGCTTTTCCATTCTTTCCATTCACCCCAGAGTCAGAGCTCAGTGCTAACTGTTAATTGGGATACTTGGATACTTCAAGAGCTTATAAAGGTATAGCAGATATATTTAAGTTATGCAGGGCGCTCCTCAACATGATTAGAGTGATCAGTCTGTCACTCAGGGAAATTTTCAAATATAGACAGTGCTCACCAAAGAGGGAAAGTGAGGCAGCACAGGGATCTTTTTTTTAAAAAAAGAGACTTAAAAATAGCTGAAGCAAAACTATCAGTCACTGCCAGAACCCAAGCCCCAGTTTAGACTCCCTGTAGCTCTAAACTCGACTTCAGCTGCTCCAATCTGCACTTATCAAATGTCACTGCTTATTTCTGTAAGCGAAAGCATTTTGTTAAAAGGACGCATAGCGCGAGGATAATGCGTTTGAATATATTTTCGCGCTGTGTTTGTTGACTGTAACGTATTTCAGGAGGACGCTGGAGTTGGGGTTGTCTGGAACAAGCTGCCCACCCAACTTGTCGACGCCCAAACCCCAGCTGCTTTCAAGAAAAGGCTGGACGAGACCCTCAGCTCAATAAGCTACTAACTCTAGAAAAGGGCTTGGTGGGCTGAAAGGACTCCTCTCATTATGTGCTTATGAAGTCTTACCTTCATAAAAATACCTTCTAGCTGTCTTAACATTTTGAAGGACCAGACATGCTGCAAGTGAGAGGCTGTGAACATGAAACTACCACATACGGCTGTGTTCATGCCTGCTCTGTTTTGTGCTTAGTGCTATGATACACTGATATCAGCACAGGAATAAAATAATACAGGTCATCAATAAATTCATGTACTGTATATATACACGTCAATTTGAAACAGTATGAACCTGTTAAGGACTATTCTGAATGATGTACTCGTTTGTTTATAATGATGGAGAACCACAACACTCAACAAGACAGAGGGACATTCCGCACAACACTTAGCCAACAGCCCCCAGTTGAAAACGGTGATTATACATGCAAGCAGCAGAGCAGCTGCAGGCAGCTATGAAGAGGATGCTCGAAAAAGGAAGGGAATAAAATGCTCCACATTTCACCCAGCGATGCGACGTAACGATGGAACACGGTGATGACAACATGGGAAACAGAGCGGAAATGAAAGTGTCCATCCTTCTTTTTTAAATAAAATTAGCAGCGTGTTAGATCACAAACTTGGATTATTTCTTCCAGACAGCTCCGAGCTGTCACTGAAGAGAGCTACTTTCACGAGAACTCACTTTGCAGACAAGGTAAAAACGAAGGGGTAACGATGGGAGGACAGAACGAACACTAAACCCTTCAAAGAGTTTACCTACTGAAGTTAAAGACACAATACAGACAGATCCTTGCTCATTCACAATATATACGAGGCGATTATCCGAATATGGTTTCAGTATGCCTATAAAAAACATTTTCATTGTTGTTTTGCAGTTAATCGTCTTTAACTCCAGTATTTACACATAATGGCAATTAAAACAAAGCATCATATCAGCAGTAGGGGCTCTTTAGTAACAGTTCATCTAAAAATTCCTTAAGACCTCTTTCTAGAGCTGACTTTCTTTTCACTATCCCCAAGACTTTCACACGACAGATGGACAATGGGGTTTCAGTGAAGTTCAGCAAGTTGAGACAGACATGGCAAAAAATAAAACGAATGAAAATGGGGCCGTATGGTCAACCTTGAAAGCAGCGTGCATTATCATTCCCCTGGTTGTTGTTGGCATCCATATCTTGGTAAGAGGCACTGAAGGGTGATCTTCCATAATCTGGCGGGTATGAGGTGTAATTCACGCCGCCATCTGGTGGCGGGTGGAGGTAAGGCTGCTGCTCGGGGCTCCTCCTCCTCAAGGCTTTGAGGGAGGAGTTTCTCTCAGGGATATCTGGGATCAGTTCTGCTATGAGTCTGTGCAATATGCTGTTGTCCGGGAGGCTTCCTCTCCTCTTCTCGGCTTTAATGTGATCATAGATATCCTTCAGAGCTGAGTCCAGCGCTTCATAAACTGAGGTCTTAGATTTTGGCTTATGAGTCTGTTTCTGAGGAGGCAAGCACTTTTTTCTCCTGAAAGGCACTGGGCTGACGAGGAATGCCAACTTGGAAAGGTTGGACTCCGCCTCCTCCTTCTTCAGCTGCTGCTTCCTGTCCTGCTTAGCCCTTTCGTGCTTCAGCATGGTAGTGAACCTGGTGTACGAGGCGGGGCACCTGCCCTTGCAGGAGCTGACCAGGTGCTTGTGATGATGGTGGTGGTGGTGCTGATGGGGGCCCGACCCATAGAAGCTCTCCGAGGAGGTGAAGGAGAAATGGTCGAAGTCGCTCTCGCTGCAGAAGGAAGAGCCCTCGATCTGGATGAAGTCGCTGAGGTCGGACACCAGCGCGTCGTGCTCGCTGTCCGAGTAGTCGAACTGGGACGCGGTGCGCTGCGGATGATCGCTGGTGACTTCGATGTGGATTGGCACAACTGCTTTGCTCTTCAAGTACTGAGGTTGGCCCTCGGGTGGATTCCTGTTGGGATTCTCCTCGTCCAGCAAGGACTCGATGGAAAAGCGACGCCTCGGGCGGCTTCCCCTTTTAGAGGACCCGAGAGTTCCCTCCGACAGCATCTCGTCGCCCAGATTCGGCATGGATTTGGACTTCTGGATGAGTCTCTCGAATTCAGAAATCCTCGTTGGCACCATGTCCCTGGGCACCTCGTCACCGAACTCCCTCCATCCCGCGAGCCTGTCTTTCTGCTGCTCTTTCTCATACTGCAATATCCGGGACCTGACCGAACAAATTACCTCGGAGGTCAGCAGATCCTTGCGGTTGATGTGGTGCATCTTCCTGTAGAGCTTCAGGAACCCGGGCGCGTCGTGCGCGGATCGGTGACGGGCTCTGGGCCTCTGGGAGTCCGGGCCCTCCCGGCAGCCATGACAGGCACCTTTCGCCTCCTCGTCGCACAGCAGGGAGCCCACACTCTCCGACCGCGTCTGCGTGTCCGTCAAGCTGTCGCGCTCGTCCGTCAGCAGGTCATCGCAGCTACGAGACTTGAGCTTTGGGGAGACGGCCTCCTCCGCACTGCTCCAGTTTTCCGCATTCTGGCGGTGGCTCTGCCACCCGTTCTTGAAGCAGATGGATCTCTTCGAGCCGAGAGGGATAACGGGGAAAGAGTGATCGCTGTAGCAGCTGTAGTCCGACTCGTGCGAGGCATTGTGGTTGGCACCTGAACAACTTAAAAGGGGTGAGTGCATTTTGCTAAAATCCCCACCTTTGATATCCACAAGAGCAGCATGGCAAGAGAAAGATACAAGAAGACATTAACAGGTTCGCAAGGACAATCGCGTATAAAAAGCAGGGAGAAAAGAAGAGCATTAGTGTTCTCAGAGAGTAAAGCTGTAAAATGAAAGGCAGGAATAGGCTGTCCAACCTAGCCCAAAATGTAGCTATACCACGTGAAACTATCTCCAGGAGGCCAAAACATTTCTTAAAAAGCAACAGCATTTAATTTATTGAAGTGGACTTAAAAGGCAACTCAATAAACAACTCTCTTTAACTGGTGGACATAATTTAAATGACTATTCAGTTCTCTTTAAAACTCAGTAAGAAAAGTCCTGTTGATTCCCATACATGCTGGAAGGACATATAAGCTCAAAACTTATTCTACAACCCACTTAAAGAAGGTCATGCAGAATAAGGGCCGAAAAGATAATATGAAGAGATAAAATTACCATTACGATAACCATTCATAATGAGATAATATTATCTTTGGTGGGAGATTCATCTGCATATTAAGGCATCGGTTTACCCATACAAGGCACGTCTTATGCAGTGAGTTAAAAGGGTTTGTAAACTACACTTCTGTAAATGCCTACCTTTTGCTCTAGATGGGGATGAGGGTGAGGAACTAGTCAATGGCTTTCTGAGTGTGCTATTGATCCTATGTGGGTCTGCAGCCCTTGGTGAAGTCTGATTTGCATTGTGATCACTCTGGGATCTCTGTTGGCTTACAGCAGGCTCAGACTTCCTTCTTTTTCTGTAATCACTTGCTGAGCTGTAAAACAATATGGATTGTGATGTCAGAACCATGTTACAGACAATGACAGCGGCGAGGAGGCATGACAAGACTTCTGTCACCAGGGTGGTTAAGACCAGGTTTGTTTTTAACCAGGGTTCCAAGAGAAATCCTTGCAGCCAAAGTCTCTCATACAACAGATTAGCTGTGACTTTACCGCACAACAGTTCTTCTACAGTTCTGCTATTATTATTATTATTATTATTATTAGTAGTAGTAGTAGTAGTAGTAGTATCAGGACCTCAGCTTGGTTACACGCCTGCAGTGGGTGTTGTAATTGAGAGTAGGTTCAAGAAAGAAAATGTTAAACACCTTTAGTCTAAATCAGCCACCGTGTTGCACAGTCAATGAGAGTAATGACCCCTTCCGTACATGTGAACTGGGAATGAGTCTTCACATTTTCAGGAACAAGAATTCTGCATGTTAGTTATTACTTATGTATGTGCATACAAAGCACAGGCCATGCGTGAAGGCGTATGTTAATGCGAGTTTCTGGCCACTAAATACTGCCCACTTATGGGACATTAACGCTTTAGAAAATGACCGTGGGGGGAGGACAGGTCAGGAAAGACAGGTCATCACAGCGATGGAAGACACGAAGCTGACAGCCCATAAGGACAGGGCTACCAGTGCTGTCTGCGCAGAGTGACATTTAATACTTCCCCGATTTACTGCGAGAAGAGACGTGGGCCCACACACACACACTCCTCCGGGGAGAACAGAAATGTAAAAATCCATTTAATCAAGCACAACAATTCTCACTATTGCCAATAAGCAATTAACACCACCACGAGCAACAACTATGCAAATAATACACAAAGACGATGGACATTTTTGCCTCCATAAAGCAAATTAGTCTCTCAAAGCCTAAGATTACAAATGCCCAGGTGGTGATAAATCAGTTTTTCTTCAAAAGCTAAAATGTATTCCAGGTTTACATCAAAATGGACAAGAAGCTTACCTTGACGGTCTTTCTGGAGTTCTGTCTGCTGAAGAGTGATATAATGAAGTCTGTGGAAACAAAAAAAACAAACCGAAAATTAACTTCCAGTGAATAACATTCCTTGATTTTTTTTCTTGCAAGTTTCTTAGCTTCCTCTGGCAGTCTAGGACTGACTGAGATCAAGCAAATAATCTGGCAGACGTGACCCAGAAAGATAAATTCTTGAACCTGTATTAGCAATGAGAGCAAGACAGTTAACAGGATTCTTCTGCTGCCTGGGCAGGAAAAGCAACCAGTTGTCAAAATAGCTTGATACCCAAAACATGACACAGCCTTGGAATTTACTCACTAGTGTCTCGAGATCAAATAAAGCAGGAAACTCTTTGTAAACACTGCTTGAAAAAGCGATCATTCTCCCCCAGGCTGAGCCCAGCACCGCTCATCTTGAGTGGGGCTCTTCAGCCAAACAAGACCTGATACATTTTTTTAAACCATCTTTAAAAGTAGCAGTGATCTTCACCTTCTGGAATGCAGAGTCACTCTATTACATTGGTCACTTGTCAACATAAATACTTCTCTAAGTGACAACTACCTCCACAGCAATCGCTTAATTGGGTTGCAAGGCCGCAGGGACCATTTTAAACACGTTCAGGGCTATGTACCGGTTTTAACAGCATCTGACTTCCTTATGTAGCGTTTTCCTTATCCTGTAAGACGTAATGAAAGTGAGAACACTACTACAATTTCCTTGCTCCTCGTATTTGGAAACATCTATCCCTTTTCAGTAATATTGTTTATGGTCAGATTGGTTAATATTTCAGCTCACAGAAGTGCTTCAAAGCCCAAAGGATTCAATAAACTTTTAGTTTCTTATTTTCCTAATTTTCAGTTCCGTTGGGGATGTGCAATTGAAGGCCATAAAAAAGTAATTTTGCTCTGTGTTGTGCTCGGCCCCATCCGCTAAAAACAGAGCATCTTCTTACAATCTCTGAAGCTAAGGAAGGGACACGATCACGTTCTCAATTGTTTATAGGTTGAAAATGAGGACAGAGACTACAAGCAATAACTATTTTAGGGTTAGGGAACGAAAATATAACATTTTGTCACACTTGTAGCTCCACACACTGCCACACAACTCCATAATAAAAGTTATTCCATGTTTTTCAGCCACGTTTAACCACAAGTACAACTGGCTGCTTCAAGCAAACCTGGCGGAAGTACCAGGGAGTATCTGATCGAGGACAACGACAGGATTTGGACAGATCCGAGAGACTTTCTTGAAGCTGACGCAGCTAAAAACTAATTTTTACCTCAGTGGAGACGCACGGCGAGCTTTCAGGCATATAATCCAAAAGTGTTTTAGGAGGCTTGTGCCGGAAGCAGCGAATAGGAAGAGATGCGGAGATGAGGTGAAGGAAAGTCAATGGCACCATGGGAAAAAAACGTGGAAAAAGTGACATGGTTAGAAAACAAACATGGCAGCTTGGAGGCCAAACACACACAGCAGCAGACAGACGCCAAACACACACATGCAGAGTGGAAAACAAGCGACAAAAGTAAGGCAAGGAGATCCCAGATAAATAGCTGGTGCAAAAATGAGATTTTAAAAATAGGACTTTTATTTCAGCTATTCAAACCATCAGGGCATGATAATTTCCCCTGACATTTCTATTTTTTGTTATAATACTTCCTGGAAACAATATCTACACAAATACTTTTGCAGAACTTTCATCTGATAAATCTGTTTATATCCAGGCTTAAAACGTATCATCTCCTCCGATATGAAAGCACATGTCAGGGAAGAATTATCATCCCGTTTGCTCTCAGACAGGCTGCGCTAGCTGAAAATTTATTGTGTCCGTCAACTGAAATCACAAGACATAAACCACCACTTTGGATGACTTCCGACTTGAATTTCAAGAGCCCTTGTTCAGTACAGCCAAAGGTAACTCATCCTAAATTAAACTCAAAATAGATGTATTTAAACATTCCTCCCCTCAATACTACATACAGCAGTAATCAAAAAAACGAATTTATTTTAAGCACAGAAACAGTCACATGTAGTGGAGTAAAGTGAAGCCAAAAGTTTATCAAAATCTGAGTCACATTTACATAAATATTATTTCAATCTAAGAATCTATATATTTTTTGAATATATGATCTGGCATATTGGCTTACTGGATAAATAGTTATTGTCATCTTGGACTTGAGAACAGCTGTCTGTGCCAGTTCTTGCCTGAATCAATGGTACAGATAGTTTAAGAGAACACTGGTGTTTAATCTATGAGAACGAGGAAGGTGAAGAAAACCACAAGCCTGTCTAACATGCGCTAATTTTCTTTTATGTAAAAGACAAGACTACCTGACCACTCCATTGTAGAGCAACTGGTGAAAAAAAAAAAGTGGAGATTTTTAAATTAAGAATTATGTCATATCATTGTGAATATGAGGCTTAATAAGCCTTCCATTATTGCTCCACTAAACAACAGAAGAGCTCTTAGCAGGCTCTTAGGCTCTTCACAGACAGATCCCCCTCGTATTCTGCTGTGCCACCTGTGATCCGAGTCTGGTTTTTCACTTACTGATCCGCTGGGTGCCTTATTCTCCACACGAGTGAGGTCGAGTCATCACTATGAAACTGAACTGCACCTGTGTTCCTGTGCCTTGTGCATTCATTGTTCATTCTCCTGTCTGGAAACGTCTACATACAAAAAACATACGCCACCCGCCCCACAGCTCGCAAGCTGGGAGAAGCAAGTGGGAAAATGTCTTTGCTTTCTCTGGACCGAAGGCGAACTGTTCTTCTAAAGTAAATTCTCACACCCCATCAGGTGGCAGAGGAAGCCAAGCCAAAGCACGGTTCAAATTAAAAGGGCGCAGGTTTTCGATTTCACCTGCCACGCTGTTTGACTATTCCTACAGTACCAGCCATTTCATAGTACGGCACTACTGTATGTGGGCTGCCTAGAGGCCATCCACGGCAAGCACATCGCCATTCCATTAGTGCACTGCACGAAGCAAACCCACACACCACGGCCCATTCTCGCAGCATGCCAAGCCTCGGCCTCAGCTGCAGGCAAGCTCGCCCCACCGGTCGGCCCTGCAGTGCCTCAGCAGGCCGAGCGCACCTGGTTTACTTGTATAGGCCTTCACACTTACCGGGTGTCCGAATTCCAGTTCGGAAAAGAACTTATACCAGGGTTCATTTTCTAAATCTATATCGTCTGGGATTAAGTCATTAATCTGGAGCAGAGGTGAAGGAGGAAGGGGGGAGGGAGGAAGAGGGGGGAAAAAAAAGCACACTAAGCGAGATGGATTGTCATAAACCTTAAGCCTAACGCATGCAACGCGTTTCCGCCAAAGAAAAGTGACACACGACCGAGAACGGCAACAAACGGAAGAACGCAGAGCAGCGAACCACATACGCGCACAATTCCCGTGAAGGAGTTATTCCAAGGAGCAATGTTTGATGTAATTCACTGAGGCACAAAAGTTATTTCTATTGATTACTACAAAGTTCTCAGGGTGAGTCACTCAGACACTAACTGGGAGATCAACCCCACAGGGTTTGTGGACACTGAGTGGTCAAGCCCGACAATCCTAAGTCAGAAGTGGTTTGAAGCCCAATCCTACCAAATACAGTGCAATACAGTCTTGGAAATGGGCATATTTGGGCATAACCAAAGAGCCTCTTCCCAAGTTCTCTCAAGGTAACATGTTATAGCACAGTTTGTGCACCAGAGGGCAGCACAGTCATTTTTGCCCCTTCCCACAGTCACACTGGCAGCAATACAAGAAGCATTAATCATTCAGTTTGACAACACAGATCAGTTTACATGAGGAAGCTCAACATACAGTTTCACAGAAAGACTCTGTGTGGTTTTTTTTTAAATACATGGAAACGAATAGCTACAAGAGTGTGCTTTAAAAACTGTTCTGCAAAATGATCATTTGAAAAAAAAAACTAGGGCTAATATCAGATCCTAAGACTAACACATCCCTAGATTTTTGTTTTGGAAGTAGATGAACAGTCACCTCAGCCCTTTACAGAACACTTGGCTATAAACCACTTGCAATGAATTGTTAGAAAAATAATATATGTCAATTTTTAGCAAACCCATGCACTCTTGACTACATTATCAAATCCCATTACCCACACAATACGGAGATGGTGCTGCTCTGATTTCTCCTGTTACAAAGCAATGTTACATTTAACTTAAAAATACTTTTTTAAGTATTTTCTTTTGAAAGTGGGGAAAAAAACTCCTACAGGAAGGAAACAACTATGTTCCTTAAACTGACCTGGAGTCCTGCTGAGAAAATGTTAGCTGTCGTGTTTCATTTGCTGAAAACGTCCCTGTATTGTTTACAAGGGCGCTGAGGGAAAAGCTGCCGAAAAAAAAATCTTTTTCATCTCGTACACCGATGTAATGAATCATGACAGGCTGATTTTGAGAAATGGAATTTGTATTTTGTAACCAGCTATAAACTATTAAAACTCTGCATGGAATAAGTTCTTTAAGAAGAACTATTAAATAATTACAAGTACAAGAAGGTTCTGTTAGGCATCAGTGCACAAATCCAAAAGCTTAATCAAAGCTGGGTTTAATCTGAAATTCCCTGCGATGGCTGCTTAAAACACCTCCGAACTCGGGTCATGTAAGGAGAATCACACAATGTAGCCGGCTTTCACATTCTGCTCCTTTGCTTCAGCTCTGAACACCTGGAATCAAGGTAACAGTCTACAGCTGTGTTTCCATCTTCCCATCCTTCCACAGGTTACAAACGAAAGAAAGCCATTCGGTCTGTCCAACCTGGTTAGTTAGGAGTTAATTGATAATACAGTCTAAAACACGCTTTTAAGCAGAACTGCTTAAATACCCGACTCTCATCACCTCAAAATGCTAAGTTATATAGTTAAAAGCACAGAATTTAATTCAAGGGATGTTATGTTAAAATTGGATAAAACACTAGTAAGACCAGCATCATTTAGGTCACTTTGCCTAGTTTTGGTCACCATGTGATAGAAGACACATGGCTTCTCTGGGACCAGTCCAGAAAAGAGCAACCAATGTGCTCATGCTCAGGGAGGTCATGACAATCCTTAGTAACTTTGTAATGTTTTCATTCTGGACTTGTGTCAAACTTCATATATATATATAATATGTATTTGTCTTCACATTTTCCCCAATGTGAGTATTATTTGAAACAATTCATTAAATTAATCAGAGTTGAATGCTGCATCAGTGACATAGGCATTCACAAAAATGTTAGCACAATGTAACCAAAAATATATTTTAGCTTTAAAGACGTGTAAAATATCCACAGATAAATGGCAATCCTATTCATAATTTAGCACAGGCAAAACACATTTTACATCTCCAGCGCTTGTCTTGCAAGATCTTTGTCATTAATCACAAATGTTTTTGTCTCAGCACATCAATATAAAATGACATCCTTTCCAGTGCTGTTAAGCCTGTAATCCATTAGGGAGCGTTAAAGCATTTCCAGCCATTAAATAATTTACAGAGACATATTTAAGAGGCTAAAAGATCCCCAAGAACTTTAATTTCTAAAGGTAAATAATTAATAACTGTCTTGGTTTTATGGGATTAATCATTGTTTCCTCCAAATCTCCAGTAATTTTTCTACAGTTTTTAAAGATGAGACAATCTGGAATCTTTTAGGACAGATTTCCCTCCTCCCCAAAACCAGTAGAAACTGAGGTTTCAAAATACCCGTTAAAGCCATTTTTAAGGCATTAATCAGAACATACCAGCCTTGTTAGGTTTGATAAGAAAAATAAAACTGAACATTATTGCAGCAAACATTATGACATCCAGAAGCACATACCGATTCAGTAATATTAAATGAATGGAAACAGGAAGAAGATTTAATTTTGTAATAATATCCACATACTGTATACATGACATTATTACAATAGGGTGTCCCTTGTACCCTTCTTTGCGAACTAGGTTCTAATCCAGATAGTCATGTGACTCATGTGAAATAATTGTAGCGCCCTCGTCAGGCAGACAAGCAGTGGAACTGGTGATGTCAGCCCCAGGAGAGCATGCTGGGATAGATGGGAACTTGTCTGGGATAGCTGGGAACTATCAGGCACATTGCTAACTTCTGGGACTTGGGGGGGAAGGACAGGGGTTTGTGTACATGGTATGTGAGTGTACGTATGTGGCTGTCCCATGTTTCCCAATGCCCTGATATTTGCCAGCTATCCCATGCTCCCTTGGGGTTGACATCACCAGCTGCACTGCTCTGCTTGGTGCCCCATCACTGCCTGATGAGGGCGCTACACAATTCAGATTCCAAAAGATGTCCAGAGGGCTCTGTATGAGAAAGGAATGCACACTTCTGACCAAGGGTTAACACCTTCCGCAGGAGTAAGGAAAGCCGGATCTTCCTTTCAGGATGTCATTAAGACTCAAGATTACAGTTCAGATTGCAAAATCAGTCAGCAGTGTTCTATATTATTCTGAAACGGTTTATTTTCACTCAGGTGTATGAAAGAACATACTGTAGGTGGCTGTCCTGGACAAATGTCTGAAGACACACTTCCATCGCTTTTTAATTCATTTTCTCAGTGTTAACAGCTGGTAACATTCCTTCTTATTTTTTATTTTCAATTGTATTTTTTCACATGTGAAAGTGTGTTAACTGGACTATTAACAACCATAAACATTTACCTGAACTGCTAGTAAAGACAAGTCATATAATTGCTGGCAATGTTCACCCCAGATAGCACTGTTTTTGTAATACTGTTTTATTGCAAAATTCCAATAACATTTATGAAATAGTTTAATTGCACTGTGCCCTTTTTAAATGTACTTAAGGAATGTGATTTGGCTCTTACTACACTGTATATTAAATATTTTGTGCTTATGTTGGAAGAAGGATGTTTTTGTCTTTGCAAGTGATATAAAGTCATGGGACAAATAAATGGCAGATGTTGTAGTTGTCTAATGCAAAGTTAAGACAGCTTGCAATATTTTATGTCTACGGTAACTCTCCTCAAAAGGCTTTGAGACAGATGGCAGGATTTTTTTTTCCCCTGTACAATTTGATTTGAAAGCTACGAAAACATAAATGCGCAAGGAGGAAGATGATAATCCAGGCAACTTTTCAAGTTGTATAACTCCTAATTAACAGCCTTGGCAGACACCGGATTAGTACAGGAGTGCACAGAACCGAGATGTCAAGGTTGTCCTCGTTCTTGATTACAAGGAGTCAACGAAACACAATGCAATAATACTAGTGGCGAAAGGACAGGTCGCTGACCTTCTATGACATTTCATGTCACGGCTGACCTTCATAGGCCCCTTGACAAGATGACCCTGACACAGTGCCCGTTTCCTCTCTTTAACGGTTCTTAACAAAGTTGAGTCGCCTCCTGCTGAACTGCTCCCCTTGCAGTGCCACCCACCACCCAACAAGTCTTTAAATTTATCATTAACCTGGTAGCACATGGAGGGAGACCTCAACCTGAAAGCCGAGAGAAACGGCAATTATCCCTACTGAATCACTGCCCCTGTTACAGTAAGCCCGTGGGGTGGCAGTCATTCCTGTGAAGAAGGAAGTTAAGATGGAACATGTATTATATGCACACAAGAAAAAAAAAGATGACTATTTATTGAGATCATGTTAAGGATACTTACTGGTCTCTCCTGCTCCAGAACGGAGGACTTTCCTGGCTCGTACTCGAAGATACTTCTGGGCTCAGCGCGGTATTTTCTGGTATCTACTTTTCTGTCTGGAGGTCCCCATTCATTCCTTTGGGGGAGGGAGGGGGGAAAGCAAAGTTATGAAACTCAAACATCATGGCTCCTTAAAGTTTGTAACTTGCCAGGCGGGAACGACGCGCCGCTGTGAATCATACGATCATACAGCACGTGCTTTCTCGTGGTTTACCACGCTACGAACGAGTCTCAACTATGCCCTCTTCCCCACAGTTCCCCCCCCGGAATATACTAGGTGTTGGTTTTGCCATTTCTTCCCACGGCCATTGCCTTGCTTCACTGGGCGACCCTCCGCTCGATGTACTCGAGCCCCCCCCCTGCTGGCAAGCTACACCGAGAGACGCCGACACGCGCAGGTCATCGGGCACCGAGCTTACGTTTCCGGCGCGGCTCTGTCCCGCGGCCGCAGCGGCGACGGCGACGGCGCGGGCGGGGGAGGAGGCGGGGGCACGGGCGAAGACTCCTTGAAGGCACTGGGGCCGTTGTCCGAGGTACTCTTCGACAGGGGGCGGTACGTGTGCGTCTTCGGCGCCGGGTGGGCCTGGACCGGCTGAGGCACGCCGTAGGTATCTGCAAGAGCAGCAAGCCCACGCTTTCAGAACCAGCTCCCGGCGTTGTGTTGGAAGGCGAAAAGACGGGCGGAGACGCGGCCCTTCAAGAAATCGGTTTTTAATTCACGCCCAGGGAAGGATCAGGTTTTGGAAAAGTGCGAATATGGTGAATTAACTTGCCATTATTGTGTGCGTGGTCAATTACAATTAATCGGGCAACGTTCCACATTGATACAAGAGTGAAAAGGCACAAAACTCCTATTTCAGGCAGGCATAAGGCCTGCCACTGCTATCACAGCAGATATAAATTTAAAGTCCTCTATGGAATAATAATTATAAGCCGGGGCTAAATCACATGCAGTTGCAAACATGTTATTCTTTTTCATCTAGTCACAATGATAACTGGCATTTAGAGATTTCCAGGCAATACTTGTCACCCATCAACAATTGTGCTCTCAGTACTGCAGCACAAAGTTCAAATGTCAAAACCGGCAGAAACTGACCCTCCTGACATTAAACACAGTTTTGTCAGAGAAGGAGAATTTACCAGGCAACTTGATTCCCCTGAGACATTAATTTGAAATGCAGTGGGGTGCACACATGAAATTTCAACTGACTATGCTTTGTTCAGGATTTTTGACTGAAAAATGGGATTCATTTGGGTCAATGGTCCTGCTTTAGGATTTTTTCCCACCCAGGTTTAAGCAGAAGATTGAATTTCTGGAGGCCAGTTACCTTCTTTTAACAGCTATTAATAAATACGTCCCCAAAGCACTATACAAGAGCAGGGCTGAAAAAAAACAAATTTTGTTGTGCAGCCCACTAAATGAAAGCAATGTACCTTCCCAGCTCATTAAATCACACACAGGTAATGCAAAATTACGATGCATGAGGTATTCTGTTAAATGATTCTTGTGCCGCAGTGCCTATTTTTGAAGTCATCATATTGTCTTCACAGTAAAGTTTCTGTAAATTGACTTTTACACAGAATTTTAATTCTACATAGAATTTTACAATGTTATTCCAATAGTCTGTTATTTCAGTAAGTTACTGTTCCACTGTTCTCTTGTTTCTCTTTCCCTTTTTCTTGCATGTCTCTGTAAATATAATTCATCCACCCACTTTTAAAAAATACTAGTGTGCCTGTTCAATTTAAAGCATCTTTCCTCTGCTTTTGGTCTATCACCAGCTAAAATCTATGGACAGGGACTCTGCAGAATTTGGGAAAATAAAATCACCATATTTAAATAAACCACTAATAAGTTAAAACCAAGCAATCAATTAGAAATTAAGGCAGGCAAGATACTACAAAATGTAGGTGATTACACAACCCTAGAAATAAGGTCAGAACACTGAAGTCTAGCTTATACCAATCTGGTGGATGAAAAAAACAAATTTATAATTGCATCATAGAAAACAAAAAAATTGCCGTCCTGAAGTACGGTAAAATAAGAGTCATGAGCCTTTCCAAATCAAGCAATATATATTGCAGTGTTAAAACTGATAACTTTAAAAGGCATTCACTTCATTATATTGTACCACTTCAAACTAATAAAACAGCCTGCATCCAAAACTGTTTCATCTACCTTTCCTGCCAAATATTCAAATGTGATTAGGAAACAGCAGCTGTGCTTTATACAGAAAAAAAAACAAGGTTATATATTCCATTAACAAAAACTGCTGAAAGTCAAACATCTCAGACTGTTCACATTTCAGTAAACGCAATACGTTAAAAGCTTAAAGTCCTTCAATTAAATGGGAGTGCCGAATAATGTCAGTAAAAAGAGAAGACATAATTTCCGCATTCTTACCCGTGTTTACTAATGCATATGTGGCATTGTACGTGTCTCCATCTGCATCATCTGTAGGAAACAGAATGGATCGTTAATAATATTGCACACTGATCGCCACACTTCTTTACCTGCTTCCGAGCCTGAATCCAAACCCAGTATACATTTACTAAGAATGAAAAAACAACCAACAATTCTCCATGCAGCCCTTCCCTCCCAAGAAAGGTTACCGCAACCTAGACCTACTGCCCTTTTATCTACCCATTTTGAGTTTGAGCCCTTTTAATATTTTAACTCAAGAGCGCCAAGGTGAGGTGGAGCCCAACCCAGCTGGCACTTGGCAGGGTACGTGCCTATTGCAATCACACGGGGGACAATGCCAAGCTGCCAATTAACACACACAACATGTGTCCGGACTGCAGGGGGGCCAGAGCAGAACGCACACAAACACCGAGAGAACAGCGAGTCAGTATCGCCGACCGTCCTGTCACTCTGCCGATCATGCATCGTCCAACATCCTAATATGACACACAGGTACAGAGCATGGTTGTGTCCTAGTCTAAAATTAAGACACCATTTGAACTGGAGAGCAAACATGAAAAAGGAAAAGGAGAAGTTTCATTTCACACCTCTCTGCACCCATTCTGACTTCACACCTCTTGATTGGCCTCTCTGTCTGTCCCCTGCTCCCGCCTCTCACTCCTCCTCCCTCCCAACCTTTGTTCTCCCGCTACTTTACCTTTGCCTACTGCCCTGTCTCTCTCACACCTGAAGAAGGCTCCACGGCCGAAACGTTGTGTTCTCTTTCTTCTTTTTTTCAGCATGGAATAAACCTATTACTTGTTCCTTTGCAGCCTACGCATGCTGACGCAGCTACCCACATGAAAAAGGAGAGTCCACTGTAATGTACAGGATCAGTGAAAATATTCAGCACTGTGAGATCACTGGTGCACAGGTCTGCCTATGGTTAACCTGGGTGCTGTGTCCATTAATTCATTTTGTATAGATTGCGCTTAGCCCACAGGGGACAACAAAGAACCGTCATCAGCTATATTCAGATTCTGCTTAGTTTTCTCATTAAGGTTTCACTGGAAATTAAATGTTTCACAAAGCACATTCACATAATTATGGCAAGCGGTATTGCTTTAGGGATATACTGTAAAAACGAAGTGTTCCTATATAACCAAGTGCCCGAGACTACTAAATACAATAGTCACTGACCTGTATGAACTTAAAAACCAGAGGGACTCTATAACACTATACACCTCCACAGCCTCAACCCACTTCCAAGAACTGTATTCTACTTCTGTTAATAAAAAAAAAGCTACAAGCATCAACACTCCCCAAACAGCCTCAGTCCAGAACACTGACTGAAACAAAGGGTGACTCAATTATTAATCAGAATCCAGCATTTAAAAGGATTTAAAAACGGAATAAATTCTTAAACGATTACCTTCATAGTGCCATATTCATAATTGTTAACATACAGTCTCAACGTCACTGTTATTATCTTTTTAAATCCCTGTGATCCTGTGCAGAGGGTGATTAACTTTGGGTCTAAATGAAGGTGCTGTTCAGAAATATCTGGGATTAATCCCATATGACACTGATAATTTCCAAATCATTACTACCTACTCAGCCGTAGGATGTTTTAAGCTCAGGGAACTTCACAACATCTGTTTTGCTAATAACTCAAAGAGTTAATAAGCATGCTGTATCATTTAGAAAAAAGTTAAACTTTATTTTAATACAAACCCTGCAAAAAATACAGTTTGGAGAAAGACCAGAGTGGCCATTTCAGGAGAATTCCAGTTTATTCCTGATTTACTACACGCAGTAAGGAGGAGAAGTCTAAACCCATTAAACATACTTTCATCAGCAAAGTGCTGTCGCAGTACGACTGGGTGGATCAAATCATGTGCACACTAATTAGAGAATGATGAAGCTGAAAGTTAAGAATAGTCCTTTACTACCAAACCACTTCTTCAGAAGTAGACAGGGGGTGCTTGAGACAGCACAGTGAATTGAGACAGTAAGCTACCCCTGCTGTAGCTAGTCCACTTTAGAAAGTTTTACTTTATATATATATAACCCTGTAGGCACTATCAACTCTCACCAAACCTTTTCTAAAGTGAAACTGACACTTTGATATATATAAAAGAAAACCCATCTTTCTTTAAAACCTTTTCTTAAAGGGTTTCTATGCAGTCACAGGTTACTCTGGTGTCTGAAATATCTAAAGCCTGCTGCATTTTACATAATGCATCTCAAACATACTGCTTTTAATTTTGTACTCTTGACCCTATAATTTCATACCAATCACCCCCCTCTCCCCCCTCCCTCGCCTAATTTGCCGGCATGGAGCTTTATCTTAACGAGGTCTGGCACAAGCACACCGGTACAGCCAGAGCCGTCTCCACAATCCTCGCGCCAGCGGGCGAAGGGGCGGCCGAGGTCAAGCTCGTAAAAGGCCAAGCTGCTCTTTTTCCGCAGCAGCCTTTCCCTCCCAGCCTTCACCTTTCAGAGTACCAGCGAGTAACAGGTCAGAAGCTACCCTGCATATGGAGGCACACTTACAGTCCACGGAGTGAGTGGAGGATTGTGCCGCCAGTTCATGGCAGACTACAGTAAATACAGGGTCATATCACCATTAATCACACGGAGTTAAAATGGAAGAGCTGCAAGCACGCCCATTCTGCAAAATACCATGCTCAAAAAATAAAAAAAGCTCAAAATGTCACTGGTTAAATGTAAATTCTAGAGTAGATACAGTATGGCAAACATTGTAAGAAACAAAAATCAAATGTTACACCATAGTATTTAATGTCCAGTGATACACAATGTAAATGTGCTTAGGTTTTGGGCTACACAGAAACATCGCATGCTGTTTTATACCGAAAACTGGGTTTATGTACATACCTGGTTTATGTACCATATGGATTTGTTTAAACATGGTCTTATACCAGTCCTTTGGCCTGTCCACAGTCTAATAAGAAAAAAACAACAAATTCAACATGCTTAGGAGTTATGTGAAACAAACAAAAAAGTGCAGTACTTTAGTTGCCTTACTGTTTCCAACTTAATAACCAAAATAACGATCTATTGCGACTTATTTCATACAAAATCAAATGACGATAAGAAACAGGTTTTTCTTCTTTTAAGATCCAGTCACGCAACCCCAGCTGTCCATCAACATGAATCCCCTGCCTCACAAGCACAACAGCAGAGAGCACCGTCTGAGGGAGTAAAGCCCCCTTCAACAACAGCACAGGAGGTTGCTGTTACCCAGTAGGCCGAAGATACTCTGGCCCACTCAACTCACGTCAAGATTGAATCACGAACTAGACGACATGAGAGGAAAGATGTGGAAGTGCGTTTCAGACCGACAACAGGAGGCTGGATTGTGTTAGTCTGGAACAAGCTGCCCAGCCATGTGGTTGAAGCGGATACCCTCTGGGCGAGATCCTCTCATCAATGGACTGCTAACAACCAAAAGAGCTAGACAGACCAAACGGTCTCTTGATTGTAACAGTTCTTATGTACCACACTGGCATTTAACTGGTGCTATACTGCCCCACTGGGAGAATCCCAAAGACAGCTGCCAATGGCACTGTCTGGAATCAAATCGGCGACAATCCAGCCTCCTGTACATGGCTCAGCCTGTGCTGTAAGCAGCCATCTCCACTGGCTGTGCTGCCCAGGACTGTCTGCAGATGCCTGTGTCTTGTGTTGAGAAATGGACTATAAATTAGTTGGCTTCTGGCTCAGGTCAACAACACCTGAAGAAAGTTGAAAAGGCAATAAACCCAACAGAGTATCTTACATGTTTAAATAACACGCAGATGCAACTTTGTAGCTACAGAAGGAGGAAAAGCCAACACTGGTTTAGGGATTGCTGTGACATTAGGATGCAAATACTGTACACCAACAGAAATGAAATGTTGAATGCATGGCCAAGATGCGTTTGTATTAAAGATTGACCTAAATGCTGGGCTTTCAATAACTTTTCAAATCAACTGTATTGTATTCAAAGTGCAAAAATGCATAGCTATGGTGGCTGAAAATGTAAACAACTTCATCTTTGGAATGTCAGAAGAACTTTACCCAGTCTATGATTACTGCAAACAAAGACTGGATTATTGTGTGCAGGACAGAAACATTTCCTTATGAGGCCTGCACTAAACACAACACTAAATAACAAAGAAGGAATACAGGAATAAACTAGAGGTTAAATTCAAATGATTCACTAATCTTGAATTACAAAACACCGGTTCATATTCCTTCTCAAACATCGACAGTATTTGTAATTGAGAAAAGAACTGTCGTTAGATTAGGAAAATAAAAGCAAAGAAAACATCCAAGCAGAGCAGGCAGAATTATTTTTCCTCTCGGCTTTTGGAGAACATTTCATATCTTCTACCAATGCATATGTTTATTTAAACTGAAACAGTACAAAATAAGAAGTGGATATTTTGTGTTTGTCTTTCTACAAAACATATACAGTTTCTTTAAGGTTAAATGTGAAGACTGATAATGGATAATTACAATATGTGGAGACATGTAATACAAAATATACTTTGCTACACTGGGTATTAGTCCACAGATTTTCTCAATGCCTGGATACTAAAGGAAACACATCTGTACTGATCAACACCGCGGCTGAGGAGAGCTTTTTAGAAAGTGAAAGGAAAAAAAATCAAACTAACAATTTCTAGTGCTACTACTAACAATGTACTTAATATGGCATCTTCACAATTGTAACCTTTCTACAGTTTGTTTAAATGCTAGACCTGCAATAAAAGACCTGGAATTCTCTTACCGTTCTGATTGCTATTGGAATTCCAGATTCATCCACTGGACCAATTCCTGCATAATGGGGAGCTTTAATAACGGACACTCTCTTCTCCTCTTCTGAAGACCTAGCAATCGGAATGGTGCTCACAGCAGAGTAGCCGTGAGAGAGGGATTCGTGGGTGATGGACTCCGACGACTCTGCAGAAGGAAACGCAAAACAAGCCACTGAAACGGGGCATGAGAGCAAGGTGCTTGGATGTCACACGCTGAATTACCAACATGTCTATCACAGAAGCGCAGAACACTCAGGTACCCTACTCTGCTGAAAGCCACGTGCTGTATCCTTTATCCTTGCTGGCTTTCTTTTTCCCCCAGAAAAGACTTGCCTCATATCAGCACAAAAGGGGAAAAAAAATCTGCGGAAGGCACTTACTTTCTTCACTTGCCTGCAACTGCCTTTCTTTAAATGCATAAATCCACAATATCTTTCACCCGAAAAGAAGACGGTGTATGATTTTCAGACAACAGAGAATAAACTGCAGACGCAGCCATGTTAATCCCAGTGTGCCAGACCCTTTTTCCTAAAATACTCCGTCACACAGATTTACGGGTAATCCCTGCTGCTTGGTGAGGGAGATTAAAGAGATCACTTAACGCAGACAGGCAACATACTGTACAGTCTCAGACGAAATAAGTAATTTCACTCAGAGCAGTAATTTCCTAACAATAACTATCCTATCCTGAAGATGTGCATCAACAAAATCGTAAAATCATAGTAAGAAGAGTAGAACGAATGATGTCGATTGTGTCAGTGTCTTGAGGACGTGAATGTACTCTGTGTCCCGTCTTGATGAAATTTCAAACAGGCAGCTCTAACAGTTACATTAAATTAATTTTAATTTTGACGTGAACAGCATTTTCACATGAAAAGTGCACTCTGTGCACAAAAACACATTGCTTTTCTTAAGGTTATGAGATGTATAATTTATTTAGCCAGAAAAGTAAGGAAAGAAAATGTACTTTAAAACGAACAATGAACATTAATATCTGTCAGCCAACTCTAAAAAGCCTCTGTAAGTGATTAACTATAAAAAAACATGCCGATTTATCAGATCAATCCAAGGATAATTGGAAAATATATCTGACACAAAGCATAGAGAAAATTGCCTAAACTTATTGCACAAAAGGTAATCAATTTAGATTGCCATTGTATGTGAAATTTCATTAAAGCCTTATAAAAGTAATTCATTGTAAATGTTGTGTCACAGAATTGCACTGCAAGGTACTTATTCACCTACACAAAACAGACTTCTAAATGCCATTCTTCAATTTACATTTGAACAATGACAATTAAACTGAACAGACAGGTGTCTGTATCTCCTACTAAAATGTTGAAAACCTGATTCCACAAATTCACTTGAATTCTTTAATCTCCTAAAACAGAGCATATACTGCATTCTTAGATAATTTCTGCTAGATTATAATGTGTATTAATATAAACTAAATTGAATAATATTGTACATTTACTAATAAGCAAACATCTAAAGTAGACAAACACAAGGCATTTGAACTGCTCACATTTACAGTACAGTACAGTAGGTACAATATACTGTACAAGCTTGCTGACAATCTGGAAAAATACCAATATAATGTCATGCCTATAAAAAAAAAAACTTGTGCATTAACTGAAAACACAAAAATGAAACGTAGGTGTTACACCAGCTTGGAACAGCATTATTTAAAAATAAAACTCTGACATCTGTTACATGTAACTCTGTTACATTTCGGACTCCTGCTTTCATTTCTTGGTGTAAAGCTGATAATTCCTGTTTTCACACAGGTTAGAACTACAATAATCCTTTTAATGTGTGATCACCTTTTCATTTTCATTTTCTTTTTAATCGGTGAAATGTGCTGAACTGCAAAGGACAGTTAGGAAAGATCAATCAGCCTCTCCGGTGTGTCCTCGTGGCAGAACTCTGGAAGTGGGAGGAGACCCATCCATGTCCCGTGAGGACCAGCACGCTGCACCCAGACAGCTGTCCCGGGTTCGAGTCGGACACACGGCTCCAGAGCTGGGAGGTGACATGGCGCTAGTACGCTGCCCATGCAGTGCGTTTGTAAAAATGATGGCTTGCTCTTATTATGAGCCTTTGATCGGGCTCTACAAAACGGCAAGTCACTGCCAATTCGGCAAGATGGCAAAATGAGAAAGTCCATGTCAGCACCCTGAATACATTCAGCACATGGACATTCATTCTGTTCCAAGTCATCTGCACGGATACTCAGACCAGCATGGTATGAAGAGCAGAACGGGGTTTGAATAAAGGAAAAGAACTCAAAGAAACAAGACTGTGTGCAATTTCGGCAACAGTTTCATACCAGGACATTTTGGTTGACCGATACTACTCTGAATCGTGAATAAAGAGGCTTCCTTCTTTTCCATGCTCTGCTCGCAACACTGACAGCTGGGTTTTTGTGCTACCCCTTGAAAGACCCCAGGAATGTGCATTGTTACGTTTTAAAATCAACCTCAAGGCCCATTGTTCTGTTTTAATTAACTTTGAGAGTTTAATTAATCCCGGCAGAACGAGCTCTGCGCGGCATTCCTCACCCATGCGCCGGCTGTGCTGCATGACAACGATGCTGGGGCTGAGGGAGGAGGGGGCGGGGGGGCAGGAGGGGGGGGAGAAGGACCTCTGCACATGACTGAGGGGGCTGCTGGCCGTGGCGGAGCTCCCATTGACGGTCATCTGGCCCTGGGGGGGGAGACAACACAGAGTCACTGGTACTGCGCAAGGAGGCACCTCCCCAAGCACCAGGGAACAAACGGGGCTCTGGAGTCTCGTCAGCATTAGAAGAATGTCAGCTCCCAAACACTTCAGGAAAAAAAAATAGTGTTAAGTAAGAAACCATGGTTACGGGGAAGAGTGCAGGGTGCTTTGCCGTTGCTTAAGACACCAATAGCCAAGAAAAAACTCCACCAGGACATTCCATTAATGATGCAGGCTTTAAGACAGACGGTGATTAATTCATGGAATAAGGGCTTCCCCGTGATCTGTTAGTGAGCAGAAAACCATTTGCAGGTGATTTTGCAATGCTCAGGAAATTTCTAAGCTTTTCTGTCACGGGAGCTGTAAACAGATCACCTTGGTTTTGTTTCTTCTCCTTTGATGGGCAGAGTACAAGTTACCGGCACGGGCCAGAGGGTTCAAAGATCAACACGTTAACACAGCACGTTGGCTGTGTACATTTCTGGAGAGCTTCTCGTATAGTTTAATTTGCCTGCTGCTGTACAAATATTGGTACAAAGACAAAGATCCTATGCAGCTGCAGCAGAAAATAAATTCCAAGTATTTTATAACAGGGATGATATCTGAGTTTTGTTGACATATCATATCATGGACAAAATTCAATTCACTATGGTAGTAGTTTACAAGTCATCCATCAGCAAGACAAGAGCATCTTCTTGGTATCGGGAACTACAGTAACAGATTACAAATTTTAAAACAATTGGGTGATCAGCCCTTAAGAATTCGTTGACTGTTAAAGAACAAAAATAGAAATTGCAAAGTACATTCAGCATGCAAATGATTCTGCACCACAACTCAGATACACGGTTACCAGCTACACAGCCCACTGAGAAGCTGTAGGGCCAAAACACCTGCAGTACGTTGGACTTTACTCCATGAACCTGAATTAGAAAGGCAGGGTTGACAAAACACAAGGGGGGACGTTAATAATCTTTCTCGCAAGGCGAGACGGTGAGTGACAAAAGTGAGGATAACCAGCACAGTAACGTTAGCAAAGATCATCCCCGGGTTAGTGACTGATGACAGGGCTCCTACTTTATGGAGCTGAAGAACCAGGAAGGTGGAAGGATAATTACATTAGTGACTGTAGCGGTGGAGGTTAAGGTGGTGTCGTCAGTGACAGCAGACATCTGACTCAGTGTTGGGGAAGGTGTTTCTGAACTCTCGTTGGTGCCAGCACCACAGATCTGGAGCTCTTCCAGAACAGCCGAGGACGACTCGCTCAGGGTGCGGGACGAGAGCTCGCTGAGCGAGGAGTCTGTGACGGGGGAAGTGGCTTCCCTCAGATGCAGTGTGATGTCTGGGCCAGGGCAGCTGTACGCGGAAGGGGAGTAAGGGACCGGGAATGTGGCTCTGTGCAGGTGAGCGGGCAGCGATTCCGCAGACTCTACACGGGTGCCGCTCTCGGGTGGGAAACGGGATCTGTTAACAGGCGGCAGGGAGGACGGATGGGACGGGCTCGGCGATGGCTGTAGGTGCGTCTGGGAAGTGTTTGAAGAAACATTCGGGCTTCCAAGCTGAAGGTGGGAAAAAACGTACAGATTCAGTAAACAAGCAAGCAGAAAAGGCCGGGTAAAAACTAACGTTGTACGACTCGTTGTATGACAGGTTAGGAATACAGGGGATACTGGAGTGGCTATTGTGCATGTTCCGTACAATCGGTAGAGCTGAAGCTCAGTGGTAGTATGGTTCTCCTGCTGGGGAGATAGAGGACACCATCTAAGTACTTTATGAAATCAACAAAATATTAATTTTACTGTAAACCATGTTGAGAAGTTGTATTTATTGCAGTTAAAATGACCACATCAGGGTTTTGAAACCCCAGAGAATGAATGCTTTGTTTTGAAAATTCTCTAAAAGTAACGGTACTTGCAGAACTGGGGACACTGTGTTTATTGTTTACAGCCAAAATGCACTACTGCCTTTGAAAGAACAGACAGGAGGGGAAATCTGATTAAAGAAAGCAGTGGAATATACTGTTTTTAGTTTCTGGTTTTAGGTGGAGTTCTTTAATGGTCTGGATCTAGAAGATTTTTGTAGCAAAGCAGAAAAAATAGCCCTTTACGGATCCCATAATTGAAATTCAGTTTGCCAAAGTGGTGCTGAACCACAAATAGAAACTATAATATATTAGCTAAATCCAGAAACCAAACAAAGAGTCTGCAATAAATGAAATCAAGAAATGAACTACTGTAAGTGTGAAGCACAAACACAGCAATACTATAGAGACTATCATCCTTAACTGCTGTACATTGTGAAAGTGATGCTAAACTACACTGCAGATTTGATGGAACTGCTGGAACTTTTTACCGAGTCACGTCAGCCGTTACATTCATTTAAAGACGCCTTTTAAAAACAACTTAAATCTCACTTTGATTTCACTTGGCAAAGTTCAAGCAGTCCTTTTGGCAGTCGTGATCAAAGGCCAAAACACATATTCATAGCGAGTCCTGTATGTGACACAGATGCATTGGTGAGGAACTTGTAGAGTGTTAGAATTGTCCATTATTTTTTGGAGCTATTGTATACCTAACAAATCTGATGTCATCGGCTGTTTAAGACCTGAGTTTCTTGGCAACAAGCCCTGCGGTCTGTGGACAGAACGAGGACCAGCCAACACTTTCCTCTAGCACACTGATCTGTTAGAGGCATTCATGTTCTGACACACCGACTCAGCAGCGCCTGACAGGAGAGTCAGTGCACATTGGTGGAGAGGTGTGTCCCTTGATGACCTCACAGGTTCTTACTTTTTGACCAGAAGCATCTACATTTATCAGTTTAATGTAATAGTTTACGATACTGAGGTATATTCTTCGAGCCCATGTCACTATACAGACCTCTGGGAATGACCAGCCGTCTCTGCAAATAAGCTGTAAACATGCATTTTGGCCTTTGAAATCTACAGTGGAAGTGGGAGGTTAGTCAAAGGTGCCACAGGTAGGTCGTGCTGCTGTGAAGATGGACACATCATGTGGGAAGCGGATTAGCTCGGAGACGGGGTAAACTGTTTGTACCACGTGAGCCCCAGAAGAGCAAGGAAGTGACGAACTCTGTCCTTTGTCGCTTGAGTCCATCCCTTTGGTTTCTGAAGAAGTGGCCGAGGCCTGACCCTGGGTACTCTTTGGCCCAGGCACTGAGCTATGACCAGCGGCCTGTGGAGCTATCTGGATGGAAAGAGAAGCTGTGTGTTTCTCAGGCTGGCTTCTAGATGCCTCTGGTGATGGGGGTCGGTGCTCTATAGGGCTCGCTTTCGTGACATTCGCAGGTGTCAGCGGGTCTCTGGGAGTGCTAGCTGCACTCTGACCCTCTGAGGATGTTAGTTTGAGGGAAGAAACTCTACGCTCTTGAACCTGGCTTCCACTAGACGGAGAGGAAATATTAGTGCCGGGCACAGATAACGTGGAGCTAGTGGCCTCTGATGTAACAGAGGTGTCCTCCTTGTGGGAGAAGGACGAGCCTGTATTTCTCGAGTAAGCCTCCTTCTGTACAAATTTCTCATTCCTGGTTTTCTTCATGTACAGTGTCCCAAAGGACTGTTCACGCACATGCTGGTGAATGTAACTAGGTGGGTTATTTGGAACAGTGCTTATTGGGGATTTGTGAAAACTGTCTCTCCTTGGAGGTGGGAGTGGCGCCTAGTTGTAAGCCAAAAGAGATCCACACAGCAGACAACCAAGACAAAAGAGAAAGAATGAAAAGTGACGTTTTTCTTCTTTTACTGCTAAAATAATGCCCACAGAGAATACAGTATAGTTCCAAGCTGTTTGAACACTGAGGGCCCTATATTCACGACACTTAAGTGCTTAAATTTCCACTGCTGCTATTTAAGATCCTAAGAGTTTTGAAATATAAGGCCCTTAGTCCATGCTCTTTCTTGATATTGTCAGATCAAACCTTAAAAAGAAAAGTAGGTTTTAATGCAGCTGTTGTTTTCCAAGACCAGAAATATATTCCAGACAGAGTGATATTGTCCACTTTTGCCCTTATAAGGATGACGCTAATAAATGAGAGCTGGAAAAGAAAATATTTATGGATTTCAGCAGTCACTGTGAAACATTTCACCAATTCACCGTTAAACATTGAGGGTAATCCATTAAAACTTTGCGCCAGTGTACACTGCCAGAAAATTCTTGGTATATTCTCAGAATTGTTGTTACAATACATCCCAGCAATAAAGAGCCATAGACATTTCCACTCCGCAACCAAATACACATACGAGTACATTCCTAAGCATTTTCAGACTTCATCATATACGTGTATGTAATATAATGGGCAGGTCAAAGTTGGCACGATGCCCCTGCTAAAATCGTAATAAAATTCATGAAGCCTTAAAGCAGCTGTGCTGGGTTTAATTGACCTTAAACATTCCTCTGAAAAGGAAGCATTATCCAGGTTCACATAAAAGGCAATACGCTGAGTGCTCGTAGACTTCATTACGTCTGCTGTGCTGCGTGATTCGGGAGATGTGGGGATGAGGTTCCACAGAAGAGGAGGAAGAGTAAAAAGGGAGGTGACTGTTTGGGCCAGAAGTCCTTACAAGTGCAGTTTTTATATGTGAGTCACAGAAAGTGACTGATTCTCGTTCGTACTGACATACTGTATCAATCAAAATACATTGAGGTAGCTGAGTGGCCCAGCCCATGCAGCAGCAGGTGTTATGAAAAGCGCATCTCTCATGTAGAGAAAGCTGCCTCACAGGCTTGATGAGGGGTATAATATTGAGGCTTTCAGACCTTGAATATTTCTTGACTTGGTGAAACCAAGTACAGGCTCAGTGACCACAGCACTCGAAAGTGCTTTCCCCAGGAAAGGTTGGAAGGTTCTTGCCTACAGTGCCAAAATTATTGTGGTTCAAAAGACACGTAGGCTAAAAGACAGCGCAAAAGAAAATGGCAAACCAAAGAAGGGAAGTGAAAAAGGGTATGAAACGCTTAGGTTTATGCCTCTCCAACATTTGGAGTGGTAAATAACTGCCAGTATACAACTGTAGCATTTTCACAAAACAAGTATGCAAATGCTAATAGCTGGGAAGAGCAGCCTGCTGCCCCCAGTCACTAAAGGCACTGTGGAAACATTGAATCTAGATTTACCAGTGTTGGAGACTTCTTGTCTTGGAGATTCGGTCTGACACTTCTGAAGCCTTTCGCAGCCAGAGAGGAACTGCTTGCCTCGCCATTTCTAAGTCCGTCATTCACACTGTAGGATCTCCAGACATCTACAGAATAATGAAACACAATGTAGAAGCAAAGAACATTTTCTTCTGCCCAAGGTACTTTTTACTTTCATGCTTTATTAGATTTAATCTATGACAGTTGTAAACACAACAAAATGCTGAATGCACTGTTGCACTATTTCATACGTACGGGGAACATACCTGTTTACATCATAATTTCTTACCTGAATCCGATGACTGTGAGTCATTACCTAAAACAACACAACACATGAACAAACATTAGGCTTCACGTCGGATTTTAAATTAACAGATCGAGCAATGTAAACTCAGCCTTTAATTTCTCAAACAAGCGTCCGCGTGACACAGCAGATATCTGGCCGTTTCAAGGTTTCTCATGTACAAAGCTGTTCACGTTTCTGACATGGCAAAAAAGGAAAATGGTGAAACATCAGAACATTTTCTATTCAGATTAGAATGAATTACACAGTAAAAAGGGAAAGACAACAAATGGCCCTTTGATTAAGCCACTAGACGAATTGTACTGACAAGACCTGAGATGGGATGAGTGCTCAATGTGGTGCTGAAAGGGGTGGCAGATTTGGAGATAGCGGGACAGACGATCTGGGCCTTCACCTGCTCAGAGGGCTTTTGAGCGGGATTATTATTTCGACAGGGTTGGGAGATTGTGGGAAAATTCCAAGGGCTTTGTTCATCCCCTCACAGAGACCTCAGGAATGCAAGGAGGTGGGAATCTGGGATACGGCCAGATGGGTTAGTGGATGTGGACAAAAAAGAAAACATCCAGCAGATTCATGTAAAGCATGCATCGTTTTTAACGAGCGCCCATTCAGTTCATGTGTATAAAGAGGAGGACTCTTTATCGGGGGATATACCGACCCGATTTTACTGCTCCCTTGAAGGATGTTGGTATTCAAACCTTTTTTTAACTTGGATACTGAAATAAAAATGTACTGTAAACGCGCAACAGAAACCTTCAAAATTACTGTGTGACATTTGCAAGCAATACCCATGCAGTAAATACACAGTAACAATGCAACATACAAAAGAGAACCATTTCCAAAGTCAAAGGAGGGGCAGTGTAGGCATCTGCACTCCAAGCTCAGAGCAGCACGTGGAACAATGCAAACGAGAGCAGACCATTGAAGCCAATCTGCTCTAAGCCCGGGGGCACCCCTGCAATAACAGAATCGGGACACCCTAAAACACACACACACACACACACCTGTGTGGGACAGGTCATGGCACCACTCTGCTGAGAGCCAGGCGGGCCACGGTCACTGCGATCGAAGCTGACCGCCTGGCCTCATCAGTGCCTCTCACTTGCGAATCAAATTGATGGGCTTTTGCTTTGTTGAGAGGTTTCGGGGGAGGGAGGCTATCAGCAGAATTCTGTCAGCAGTGGGGTAATAAAGGAAGGAAATAAAGGAAGACGGAACGAAAGTCAGTGCTGTTCTCGGAGGCTCTGAGCACCTCTGACATTACAGTGGGGTGCTCTCCATTTATATTTTATATTGCAGAAATCACCCTCCATTCAAAGGTGCTTGAATCAGGTAAAAATTGCTTTGTTTCTATGTTCTAGTGGAAAGAAAAGCAATCGGATTGAAAGGGCTTGAAATCCCACAGGCTACTGTTAATACTGCTGTTTAGTCTCTAAGCAGCTTAATTAAGATGGGCCAGCAAAGCAAAGAGTTGCTGAGTAAAATGGAACATATTCTAAACACTCAATACTTTCCAGTTTTTATCAGGACTGGGAAAAATTGAAACTTGGCAGTCAATATTTGTTTCCTTAATTCTGTTCAGACTTTGTGTTATTGCTGCTTAATGGTTTCCTTGCAGCTCCTGTAACTCTCTGCCCATGCTTTCAGAGGTGGGCTTATCACACTCATTGCAAAATTGAGCAATTTTGGCTCCCTAAACCATGGAAGGTTTATGGCCTTTTAAAAATTCAAAGGATAAATTAAACTAAAAACAATTTTCATAATACAGATGGCATTACGTTAATGAGTTCTACACAGAAGTATAAGTCAAGGAACAAGGAAAACAGTAAATACTGTACCTGCTGCTTGTTTTTCTTTTCTTTCTTAAACACAGTCCTTCCTGTACTAAACAAACTCAGACCCCAGTCCACGCACAGTTCCGTGCCAGCTCCACGCAATCTTTCCTGCTCGCCATACGAGCGGTCGAGACAGTGTTCGCCAATAACGGCACACGTTCGAAGGAGCCTGTTCATGGGGTGTCTGGTGTGTGATTCATCCAGAATCCAACCCCCCCCCCCCCCTTACTGTGGTGTCAGCAAAGATCTCGCCAGCCACTGGAATCAAACCAGTGATCGCCAAGTTATTAGGAACATCCTGAAGCAGCCGAGCTGCTTAGGAGCCACTCAAAGGCACCGAAGGAAATGAGGTTCAAGAACCCCTTTCGATCCTGTAGGTGCCCTGGGGATTTCAGCTAGCGACCAGGTCGGGAGACTCCCAATCTGAAGCTACCTGGCAGTCTATGTCATTCTGAAGTCCACCAGCGCGATCTTTGTGTGGTAACAGTCTACGAAACCGCTCAAACAAAGAGGGGCTATGGACAGGAAGCAAGGGCGATGAGGGAAAAAAAAAACCTAACGGTTGCCATGGATCTGTTTGACAATAGAGACAGGTCAGCTACCACTACCACAGGCATCTAGTGGCCCTCTCTTCCCCATCCTGACCGATTTAATTTCACTGCAGATTCCAGACGTGAAAGCTCCAACCTCTAAACCCACTCTACTGCCTTTACGACCCCGGCGGTTCACATCATTAGGTGGCTGCTTCTACTGTAGGTCAAAGTAGTCAGGAAAGGCAGCGCTTGACAGGCACAAACAGCCCTTGCAGGAACAGAGCAGACAGGAACGGATGAAAATGGAATGTGGGGGACACTGCCGTCTGAATTTTTGTTTCCATAAAAAGGAAAGCAAATCATGCCAGGGCCACGCTTTGCAAAATGGGCCTTTAACATCTGAAGTTTGTTTTTTTAGAATTTAAAATGCTGTGTCACTTGCAGGTGGGCCTGTAAAGAAATTACTCACAACAACAATAATAAAAAAAAAAACATTTCAGATTTTTCAAGCTGAGGTTCAAAGTAAGTGCTAATAAATAGAATAAATAAAGGGTGAATTGGAACTCTGTCAGTTATCAGCATGCATGTTAATAGTCGGAGTTACTACCTGTGGCCACATACAGGTTTGGAGAACTCTGGACTCTCTTCATAGGTCTTAATGTGACAAACACGGCAGCAGTTTCGCGAGCACATCCACCGCTGTCTGGAAAGCGCAGCACCAGACAGACGCACGCCCCAGCAACAGGAGGCAAGCACATGCATTATCGCCGATTGCAAAACAAATTCATTTGGAAATGCAGATTAAACACGCATGCCTGCCAAATTCCACTGAAATTAAAACACATTACCACATTTTTTGTCGTCAAATCATACAGCATGCAGAGGATTAGAACAGGGTTAAAGACATATCATTAAGGCTAGAAATCTTAACACACCATAGAGGCAAATCTTGTTAACTATTTAACTACTATTTAATTTGAGGTGTTCAGAAATCAAGAGAATAAAAGAATGTCAATGATTTCGATTCACGCTAAAAAAAACCTAAACAATAGTCACATTAATAAAACAGAAAGCCCTTAGCAAGAACATGTGATCAGGAGAAGACAAATACAAATCTTTAGAAATGACCACATTCAGTTAAGCAGTCATGCAGAATAACACATAATGCTCCTACTGCACACATACCATGGTACACATTAAAATCAAATGTAGAGAAAATGCTTCTTTTTTTTTAAAAAACTCTTGGTCTTATTCAAACTCTTACTCCAGCAGGGGTAAACCAGCTTCTGCCTTGAAGGCATCACTCAATCCCACATTGCCTCCTTGCTTTCCCAACAAGGTCTGGAGAGGTGTTTATATCCCAAACCTACTGTACCTTCCCTCAAGAAAAATCTTTTTATTCACCAGACTACGGTTACCAAGATTTCGGCTGCAAAACAGCCTGATTTATTTGCCTGTGAAAGATATCATTGTTTCCCTTGCTGACTCTGCTCCTACACATAGACAGCACTGCAGTTCACTTTACTGTGTACTGAGAACACAGGGCCTCGACTCTGCTCCTCACTATACATGCTGTGACTGACATCTCCCCTGACCTTCTCTGGACACAACTGCAAGACGCTCTTGTGCATAAACAATAATTCATGATGTACAGAAAGCTGACATTATTGGAAGCTGAAGCAAAATAAACACTACAGAGGACACAAAAGAGACACCTGTGAATATGAAATATGAAAAGAATCTCTTAGCTGTAGTTAATTTTCTATTAATAGTTCAATGCCACCATTAGGCTGAAAAATATCTAGGCTTTGAAAATTTCTTCTTTTCAATACATTTTACAATTCACAGCTTAAAGCTGTTACTTTTTAGATTTATTTTATTTTGTGAATGGCTTGTAGCAGGATCATTCACATACTGTATCTCTTCATGAAAGAATATTTGCTATTTTTTAGTTTGAACATACAATTTGGTTTAACATTTAAAACACTTAAGCACAACCTTTCCTATAAAAATAATGCAGCAACTATAACAATGTTCCCAGAACCTGTTTTGTCTATTTTAGCACATTTAGCACACAAATGGTCACTACACGATTTTCTTTGTCAGATGGACAATTATCACTACAAATTCTCTATATGTTCTGTTTTTCAAGAATGCTAGATACTGCAGCACTAAGAAACATGATTGCTTTTAAAAGGTGCTACTGTATATAAAATGTATTTTTTTACTTTTACTATATTATTATGCACACTAAACCCATCGCTTTGATCACTGTCTGTAAGACCTTGCCTGTGGATCTGTGCAAATTAATAAACATCTAGAGCCTTATAAAGTATGATGTCCTGGAAGTAACTTTCAATAAAAAAACATACTGTACACTCTAGACTTCTGTTTTTGCTACACAAAGCCTAAACATTTCTAATCCTAAACTGGAAAAAAAAAACAAATAGCAGTAGCCACTGACATACCTGTATTCATGGTGAATCTGTCGCTTTATTGTAATACTGTAATCGTCAGGCGATCCTACAAAAAGAAATAAGGAGAATGTTTATCTCTGGACATAATTATAAATATCACACAGACAGAAGTATTCCCTTTCCTACATCGACTACTGTATAGAAATGCAAGAATATCCACTTCTGCTCAAACAAAATTCTTTCAATTTGATACCATCTGTAACAATTATATAAAGAACAGACACACACTGAAGATTTAAAAAAACGCTGACCTGCAAACATAAAATATGTTTTTTAAATAAGTCATGCAGGTGCTCGAGAAGCCATTTTAAAATTTTGCCCACATCATTCAGGTTATTTTCAAGTTCTCTGAAGAGGCACACTTTGAACAAACCTATATTTCCAGGATATTAAAAAGGGCTTACCCTGCAGTTTCTTTAAATGCTCATTAATTAAAAGACCCTAGTATCTACTATATAAAGTCCAAATAAATTAAAATCTGCAACAAATTACATTGGGGTGCTTCTAGCAAGCCAGGTGCACTTTAAAATATATAGTCACACTGGCAGCGAAAACATTACCAGCGCGAGTCTGTACCGAGAACGTGCAGTTAATAAAAACACTCAAGTCAATTATTTTATTTAAGTTGCGCTACTCTCAAGATTGATGGCAATTAAGTGTAACTCCACATCCAAACATCTGTGTTTCATGTTGACTGGAACGGCTACAGTTTTAAGCTACGTTCCGTCAGCCTGACTGAGGAGAATGTTCAGTCGACAGGGTCCCTGCAGGCCGTTAACTGTGCAGCACACACGACGAAGGATCGGCGCCTCGGGATGATTTACTGGGAGTGCGGGGATACTCAACCTGCAACCCAGCCCACCCACCCCAGAGCAGCGCTCCGATAGTACCAGCCCTTTAACTGCAATACTGATCCTGCCAGTGATTTTAGAAAGATCCTGAAATGGCACGGATTGGAGAGACCGCAGACACGAGTAAGCCTGATCTGGGACCCAAGCTGAAGGCGGCAGCGACGCCAAGACTGGGACTGCCCGCATTTCAGCACTCACGCAAGCAGAGCTGTGTGAAAATACCCCGGGACAGGAGACACGCTTGGTGAACAAGACTGCCTGAGTGTACAAATATGTAAGCAGGGTCTAATCCATTACCTCCTCCTGTCTGTTAGAGCCTAATGAGTTATGACAGTGCAGCTATTTAAGGAACGTCCAGCACAGCCCCTGCTTTAACTCCAGCAACTGCTGGAGAAAGCACAAGAAAACAAAAAAAATACAACTAAATTCAGTTTAATTCAACTAAAACTAAATTTCCCTTGCCTTTCCCTCAACAGTACTTTATGGTTGTTTGAATTCTCTTCTTCCTTTCTTCTCGCCTTTAAGCAGCTTAGGATAGAGTTATTAAATTAACGTCACATACTGTAAATGTTTGTGGTTGTAGGAAAGCCTGTGTATATCAGAGAAGACACCTTTAAAGGCACTATATAAAATAAAGCTGTTCATTATTATATTACTATTTTTCTCCAAATGTGCTCAGCAGCGTAAGGGATACAAAGTATTTCATTAGCATCACATGAAATGCTTTATTTCTTTTATGGAGTTATTTTGATGTATTTTTTTTATTAGAGCCAATTTAAACACATACTTTAAAAACAAAACTGAATTCAATACTTTTTACAAGTCTCTACGTCATTCAATTTACCCAACTTAACCGTCATATTTTCAGAGCATTCAAATGCCTCTGATGTTACTGCTGCTCCTGCGTCAGTGTGTTGTTACATCTTCAGCAGAAAGGTGGCAGTGCTTAGCCCTTGGGCCTTGTGGAGAGTCAGCGTACCTTAGTTTCCACAGGTGGATTACGAGGGGGAAAGGTGGCTTCAGCAAAATAACAGGCAAGTGTCACTCGAATGACACACTGTACGGTATGACACACCTGAACTGGATGAAAAGCTAAAATAAAACCAGGTGGAGCTTCATCCCTGCCTTATGGCTCTCTGCTGACTCCTGGTTTGAAATAACACACACCGTCTGTACAGCAAGCCAACGGCAGCTTACTGTACGTAAAGGAGCAATTACGGTAGCAGATGAACATGCACGCAGTCGTATTCTTGGTATAGATCGATAAGTTACGTCTTACAGAAGGCTGCACGTGTTCAGGTCTGATATCTGTCTGGAAATGAAAAAGCTGTGTCATCATATCTTCTCTCACCCTGCTGTACAGAAAAAACATCACCTTCACCTTGTGATGTGGCTGTGGATTTAATATCCATTTGTTGCACACTAAAGTCAAGAAACGCAGAAAGCTTCAATTAGGATTCAGCTACTTAACATTCTAGTGCCAAAACATAGTGTGCATTTTCCTTTTTCGCAACCAAACTGAAAGGAAATACATTCATTGAATACGTTTTGATATCCTTCCCTGAAGTGAATGGTGGATATAATGATGGCAGCATGTGAGCAGACCCTGCTACTGACATACCGTGCTGCACCAGTACTCTCATATTCCTTGTACCAGTTAGTACACGGCGGCGCAGTGTCGTGTGACAGCACTGGAGTACAAATAGCAAAGGCACTGCACTTAAAACTTGGAAAACCAATCTGGCTACACACAAGTATTCAGTACCACTGAGGGTATAAAAAAGTTGCCCAAGCTGGAAATGCGGCAGGCTGGAGCCATGTCAAACGTTTGTGTGAAGTGTGAAGAGTGGGCTGTGTGGAAACGGGCCAACTCGGTGTCTTCACACCCAGCGACTGGGTCCGTTTTCAAGCGTGACATCCTGCATGCCCAGTAAATATCAGGCCAGTGGAAACAGCATGAAGAGATCCCAGCGAACTCACAAGACGCTTCACCGCTTCAGAACATCAGAACGACGAGAGAAAAGAAGAAAGTTCAGAATGAGAGGAGGAGGCCTTTCAGGAGGCCTATATCATTTGGTAGTTAGTAACCGACCCGAAAATCTGCTCAGGCTGCATCCTGAAAGAAAGTAGCGTGTTCCAGACTCCCACAGCACTAGAGGTAAAGAAGTACCTCCTGTTCTCTGTTTTAGAGACACTTCCATGTAGTTTGCACTAGTGACCCCTGGTTCACTGTTCATTCCAACTGAGCCAGGCAGCTGATCTTGAGATCGCACCACCCACCTATTAAAACGCAGCAGGGACTATACTTTCCACGCAGATGGCTTCAAAAGGTCGGTGTCAAGCCCAAAAGATGTGACTGATGTGTAACTTGACAGCCAGGGAAGTCTGAGACTGAGAAGCCGACAAGGGACTACTGAGTGACTGTACTGCATGGCCATGGTCTTCCATGATAAATTTCCACTTTGCTGTGGAGTCACTGATGAGTCGATATGGAGAGAAGGAGCAGGGTCAGGTTGAAATCAGGTGCAGGTTGAAATCAGCACTCAGGGAGGGATGGAGAGGGACTCAGTCTAACACAGACCTCATGGGATGCAGTGAACACAGATTGTTGTCATAATTTATATTTTTAAAAAAAAGCTATTTTCTCTTCTTAAGTTGAGGCAACTGGGAGTAGGGATTCGGCGGAGAGACTTCCTGACTTAGGTTCTGCAGACCATGACCTGGGAAGGAGGACTGAGATCCACCACAGACATTAAGGATTAAATATGCCCAGCTCCCCCATACAAGTGCACACTGTATGAAATAAATTGGCTGAAATAAGCAGGACATTGCAGTATAATCTCTCTCTATATTAAGTTCAATGATGATTCTCTTTGGTCTAACACTTCACATTTTGGGAACCAATTTTTATCAACAGTTTTGCCACAAATGAGAACGACACTATACAATGCTCCTGTTTAGTCTGGTATTTGGCGGGTTTCATCCGTAGCGCCCCCGTTCACAGCCCTCACCCCGGACACAAGCCATTCCTCACGCCAGGGCCACTGTCCCCGTGGCGGAGTCTGGGTGATGTTCAGCTCGTGTTCAAGCAGAACAGAAACGGGCACACACGCAGAGGAAATGTAGGTCAGAGTGCCAGCCCTCCTTTCCTTCTCTGCAGTGTGCCTTCAGTCCCGAAGAGAGAGATGTGCCGCAGGGACGTCGTGGAAAGAGACCACGCTGCCCGCTGGCATTTTAACGGACTGTCCGCACCGTTACAAGTTTGACTGCTGCCCACTGTCGATTTCAGCATTTAATAAACAACAATGAGTACGACAACATAAAATTCATGCCACGCACAACCTAGTAACACAGGATTCTCCTTAAGAGGAAAAAAGTGAGTGTTTACTGGGAAACAACACAGCAGGCCATATTGCTTCTACATCTGATATAATAACCAGGAGGAAAAAAAGCTTTTAATAACTGATGGAATATTACCATTATGATTTATCTTTACTTTATAACCTACTGTATAGCACTGATGCCTTTACTGTTCCCGATTCCAATATATACACAAAAATCTTAGCCAATTTGTATTTTTCTACTATTTTCACTCATTTTTTCCTCTTTGTCAACAGACATTTTGATGGTGGTGACATAAGGATATATGATAAACTTTGTAATAGCTTTCATAGCACTGAATAGGAAAACTGAAGTCAATGGTCATCTAAGGATAAGTCAATTGGATTTGATTGGTTAATGTGCTGGATTAGCGACAGCAATTCAATACATTATGCTGGCTCTACAATTCACCTTTTGTAGACGCGAATGTCAATGTGAATTATAACTGCTGAACGACAGGCATAGTTACTTTTCACCGGACTGAGCTGTATAAAATAACACTGAAATAACATTGAAAGTTGTCCTAATAGCACATACATTTGGGAAATTTCCAAGTTACAAAAACTGACACGTGGGCCACGTTCAACTAAGTGAAAGATTGCTTCTCACAGAGGCCTAAAGATGGCGAGAATCTAAACACAACCTCAAAATCAATCTCGCATGTAACTCCCCAGAAATCTTTAAAGCACACACAAAATACTACTTTATTTACACCAAACATGCCCAGCGTAATCAAAGAGTCGCACAGACCCATCAGCATTTAATGAAGGAGAGCACTCTTAGAGACAACAGATGTGGTCGGCGGAAAAGGGAT